TCGTCACAAGGCTAGACTTGTGGCGAAGGGCTTTACTCAAGTACCAAGTCGTGATTTTGGTGCTACCTTTGCTCCCGTGGCAAAGTTGACTACTGTTTGATTGATTATTTCTCTGGCTGCGGAGTACTCTTGGCCTCTTCATCAGTTGAATGTGAAGAATGCATTTCTTCACGGTGATCTGGACGAGATTATTTATATGGATGCTCCACCGGGCTTTCGTGGTGAGGGGGAGTATGTTGGAAAGGTATGTTGACTGTGTAAGTCTCTTTATGGACTGAAACAGTCACCACGAGCTTGGTTCTTTCACTTTAGTGTTGTAATTGTCCATTTAGGGTTCACCAGATGTCATTCTGATCATATCTGCTTCATTTGACGGAATACTTCTGGACAGTGTGTCATCCTTTAGATATATGTTGAAGACCTTTGATGTAAAGGGCCTTGGTTTTTTGTGATACTTTCTTGGGATTGAGGTTATCCATAACAGCAGGGGTATTGTTCTTTTTCAAAGAAAGTATATTTTGGATCTTCTCTCAGATACTAGGATGTTGGGGTGAAAACTGACATCATCACCTATAATTCCAAACCTGAAGCTTACTACTGAAGGTGAGAAGTTGAGAGATTCAATTGTCTATCAGAGGTGGTAGATAGACTTATTTACCTAACCAACACTAGACTAGATATTTCATTCGCTGTCAACCGAGTTAGTCAGTTCATGCATAGACCATGTTAGCCTCATCTTGATGCAGTTTATCATATTCATCAGTACCTTAAGTCTTGTCCTGGACTTGGGTTGTTCTATGCATCAGGATCTCAGATTGGTTCTCTAGCCTGTTATTCAGATTCAGATTATGAGGGAACGTGTGACGGTAGATCTACTACAGGCTTCTGTGCTTTTCGAGAGACTCATCTTATCTCTTGGAAGAGCAAGAAGCAGTCAGTTGTCTCTCGCTCATCAGCAGAGGCAGAGTATCGGGCACTAGCACTTGACACATGCGAGATTATCTGGCTACGATCGATTCTAGGCGAGTTGGGATTTTCAGTGACTTCTTCATCTACATTATATTGTGATAATCGATTTGTTATTCAGCTCGCTTTTGACTCTGTATTACATGAGAGGACGAAGCATATAGAGATCGATGTTCACTTCCTTCGGGGAGAAGGTTAGCAGTAGTATTGTCACTCCATTGTTCGTGGGGACCAGTGATCAGGTTACGGATGTGTTTACCAAACCTATCACTTTATCCATTCTTCGGGACTCCGTTGTCAAGCTTGACTTAGTTGATATTTTTGCGCCTAGCTTGAGGGGGAGTATTGGAGATATAACAACCTAGTTTATTAAGATTTATTTTGTTTTACCTTTTTTATCCTTATTGTAAACTTTCATTATCTATATATGCGGGGTTCTATTTTTAGTTTATATCCCTTGTTACTCTCAAATACATCAAGTCAAACTATTATGAGTGTTTTTAGAGTTGCAAAAATAAGAGTAGATAACTTAATGTTCATTTTCTATGTTTAGGACCCATCTATCGAGAACCCACTTGTTTTTAAATGGTAGAATGCTCAAGATTAAGAGGAGATTCTTGGAAAGAAAATAAAGGTATGTATTGGTTTTCTTTTCAATTTTTCTCATTTTTTTCACTAAGCTAGCTAATTTACATGGTTGTAGTTGTTTGTTGGTTGTGATTGTGAATTAACATGTGGTGTTATGTTTTTTGAGATTATCTTTTTCTTTGACTACTTGGGAATGTTTGTGCTAAGAGAGTCACTTGGGATTATGAAATATGTTTTTTTTTTATAAATAAACTTTTCATATATTAATTGGGATAATTTTAATTTTGGGATTATACTAAAATAGTTATTATTTGGGTTAAATAGTTTGAATGTTTGCATGGGTTACTTGGAGGTTGATTGATGGAGTTTGAACTTATTTGTGCTAAGTTTGTCTTTTAATTTGCTTTCTAGCTATGTGTACGCACCCTTAATTTGGGAGATGATTCATAAATTTAGGGATGCATTTGGTTCTATAAACTTGCTCTTATTGTGTGAGTTTCTTTGTGCGTGAATGTGGATGGATTCATTAGATTTCGGTTTGGTTTCATTGTTTAAATGGGTGTAGTTTAATTGTTTAAAATAAGAAGTCTTTCCAAGATCATTTTTTTGTGCTTTATATAACACAACCATTGTTTGATAAAACATTTGAGCAAGAAAACTCTGATTTTCAAATTTTCTTTCCATCTTCCATTTATATATAGGTGATGACTGCTAGCCAAACGGTGTTAGATGGACTCTTATGTAAGGCCACTTGGTGAGACTTTGATAAGCACTAGAGCTGTCATTTCTATCATTAGACTTTTTTGATTTCATTAAATTTTGTCATTTCAAACTCTTTTGGACTATTTGACTTAATAATTAGTTAATTGCACTTACTCTATCTGAAACTGTAGAGATTTTTCTTGATTAGTTGTCAATGAAAAGATTTAAGCTAATTATATACTTGAAAAATCCATGTGACAGCCTGTACAAGATTGATTGTGTTTAGGCAAAACTATTAAAAGTTAAAATAAATCAACGACGAAGCAAGAAATTCAACAATAGTTAACAATCAACGACAAAGAAAAATTGAGCTTATTCAAACTTAACGCAATAGCAACAAAATTAAACAAGTGATTGATAGCAAACCCAACATAGAACGTAATACTAAACACCCACTTCAAGATTTTTTTTCCTTTTTTCTCAACTGCCCAAAAAAAAAAGTGTTTCAAAAATCTAGCGTGAATCCAATAAATATACAAGAAGAAAACTCAAAACATTAAGAAAGCAAATACCCAACAGAGAGGAAGGTCATAACATATTCTTTAAAACCATATTAAGGCCAGCATCAGTAGTACTGGAGGCATCATTGAGTGACCCCTTTTAGAGAACAACTTGCAAAAAAAAAATCTCAATTTCGACCGGAATATAAGCAAATGATACATGTTTTACCTCATTATTCTTGATCAAAAAACCCAATTTTTATTTGCACGTTCAATCCAAAATCTAAGATATCATGAACCAAATCATTATTAGATCTGGTCAAAATTAAATAATTTCCAACAAAAAAGTTGCATCAAAATTAATTAATTCCCAAAAAAATTAACATCAAATTCTCTCTTACATTACGAAATCAAAATCGAAACAGTCCGCGTCAACTTGCAACTATTGATAGTTAAGCAAAAAAAAAAGAGCTTTGGGCTTCACAATATGCTTAAAAAGGATAAAGCATTGGACTTCCCGTTCCTCTTTTGCTGCCGTGGAAATTAAAAGACAATAATTAACACATAAATAGAAACTAGCGAATCATCAGGTGAGACCCTTTTGCCACCATGACATTCAAAGATAAGCAAACATGAGAAGAAAGAGAATGAGTGTGTGTGCGCATAGGTGGGTATGGGTCTGGGTGTGAAATTGAGAGTGTGTGCTAAAAACTACTGAGTGACAAGCTAGCAATCCACCAAAAGTTCAAATGTCGAACCGATTGAGTTTCTTTGTTATCAAACCTAAGAGACTGTGGGTTATGTATAAACTTATTTTACTTGCTGCGAATGATAATAGAAAAAATAAGAAACTATCAATTCAAATTATTGACGAAGTCAAGTCCAAAGTAAAAATTGTATAAAATAAATATTTTGACTCATTATGTGTACCAATAACTAACCAATTGTCACATTAAACGTGTTTTTTTTGGAAAGTAATGTTGAACATTGACTGTATATAATGGTGATTTTTTCTTGTTTAACCACAACAACCGAAGTATAAAAGAATTATATTTCATAGACCTACAAGGAAGGTGAGGACTCCAAGTCCTAACAGAACATAGGCTTGGGAACGATATGCACTCATGTGCACTGTGAAGATGAATAACAAAAAGACGAGACATCCAATTAAGAGCAAAGAAATTGTAAGCGCAATGATTTAAATCAATACGAAATTAGATCACCATGATTAAAAAACAAGGATTAGTCATCTTTTTTGCAAAAAAGTATGCAACTTTAGATACTGGGGCCCCAATATTTTTTTTATCTTATTTTGAAGCTATGAAATACTAAGATATATATGGCCTAGTTAACAGTTTTGTTGACCTAATTGGGATCAAAATTACAACAAAGATTATGCAATTTTCCAACCATTATTGATAGTAAGAAAATATTGCAGGCTGAAAGAGTTTTGGTCTATGGTTTACTATCTAAGTAAGAGTATTATTTTTTATTACAAACAACTCCACAATGTAGTTCATGTCAATGAATAATGCTATTGAGGCCTAAAAGTTTGATCAAATTTGTTGACCTAATAGATCGTTGAGTAGTAATAATTCAAACAATTTCACAATGAATGGTTTACCGGTGTTTCAATTGACAAAACTACATATACGCATAGATAGAAATTGACAAATTGTGTTCCTAATAAGATGTGAAGTGAAAGCAAGTATTAACAAACACTATAGAAAGATCAAACACCAATTCACTTGGTGAAAAAAAAGTGACCCGTTGAAGGATCAAACACCAATTAAATAAGTGAAAATCCATTAACATTGTTCGAAGTTCAAACACCAAAGCACTACATTGAATAGACTGTTTGAAAACACTACATTGAATAGACATAGAAACACTCTTACATAAGCATCACCGAATAGGAAAGAAATAAAAACACATCATGGAAATGGTTGGTGAGCAATTGCAACGCAGCCACCACACCCGAGAAGGAGTAATGGGCAGGTATCACATCAGTGAAGACAATATACAAGCTTAGTTGTTGAGCTGAAGTAGCTTATTTGTCACGGAGAGAATTCCGCCGCACAGGATTTAGAGATCTACATTGCGATTCGTCAAAATAATCTTAACATTAGAATAAGAAATAACAGATAGAAAAAATATTCATGAATACATGATGAACAATTGGGATATTGTAGAGAATAAGAGCCCACCTGGATCAATTCCTTATGCTATCTGTAAACTGAGTCCTCATCGGTTAATTTGGGAACCTGGAAGAAAAGCATTTCTTGTGGCTTCATCCTGCCATTCCAACTTATCAAACCAGTCTCTGCTTCCAGTAATGACAGTTCGATGTTCTTTAGCGCTATCAAAGTTGAGTGGAAGCTTCTTCAGCGCTGGACACTCGTTTACCGCGAGGAGTTTCAAGCAATGGAAGGGCAGGGGACTGTGGTAGATGCTCCTTAGTTGTGGAAGAAAATGAAACTTTAAAGTTTCCAGTTTTGCAAATGGTTTTGAAATTTTCCCTTTCTCTGCAGCTTCCATCCATTCATCTCTACTAATTACTTCTTCCATCTTATAACAAAACTCTATAACAATATACTTGAGGTTTGGAACAAAGATAAGCCATTTTACATTTTTCAACCTTTGGCATCTCTCTATAGATACACTATGAAGGCTATGGAAGCATGGTCGGTTTCTGATGTGAGAGTTGAGGGGATTATTACTAGTTTCTATCTCTTTTCCTTCTACATTCCAATCAATCTCCCAATCTTCACAATCATCCCAAAATCTGACATGAAGGGAATTTAGACATTTCATATATTGCAGAGAAGATATATTGAAAGTGATGCAACGACTGAAGGAATCCAAGCATAAATATCGAGTGCAGCTCTGTAACTTGTGGCACTTTTTAAATCTTTGGAAAACAGAGGCATTTGTCATTGTCATATTCAAAAAATATAAGAATTTCAAAGCATCCAATTTCTCTACCAAAGCTTCATTGTTGATGTTAACACCGGAAATCTTCAACACTTGCAAGGATGATAAACCTGATATCACTTGGAGTATTGAAGTTTGACCACAAAATGTACTTTCCATATCCAAAATTTTCAAATTTACCAAGTTTTGGAGCTGAACTGGTAACCGACTTATATTTATTCTAGATATATTCAAATACTGCAATGAAGTCAATTCACCAATTTCTGATGGTAAATCACCTAAAAATGTATTCCTTGACAGGTCTAGAACTTTGAGAGCATGCATAGATTGGAAGAAGCCACTACTGATCATCTTCAAAGAATTTTCATTCAGAAACAAAGTTGTGAGCTGAGGGCATGTTGGTGTTCCTATTAGTCTCTCAATTTTATTTACCATCAATGACATCCTCTTTACCTCTTTCCATTTTGAAATTTCTGGTGCTTCAGTCTCCCTCCCACCTACTCGCACCAAAAACTTGTCGGTCTGCTTCTCATATTCACGACCTATCCACAATGCCATCTCACGTATCACGTCATGCATTTTTACAAAGTCACTAGATACCTTTTCCAACAAACATGCTTGAAGAAGTGTGTCAATAATGTCATACCCTTGGTTTTCAGCTCCATCTTCATTGTCATTCCATTCATTTAAAAATCCCTCACCAATCCATTTGTTTATCAAGTCCGCTACAGGAATAGACGAGTCTTCAGGGTATAAAGAGCAATATAAGAAACAAGACCTCACTGTGTCGCTAGGTAGACTATCATAACTTAAATGTAAAGGACGAAACACCTTTTTTTCCATACCTGGAAATCGCACAGCATAGTTCTTCAACACTTTAATAGCATGCTTCCACGCTTGGGGTGTTTGCTTGTAAGCCATGGCTCTACCTACTGTACCAAGTGCAAGTGGCAAGCCGTCACATTCTTTGGCAACAAGTTTAGCTAGCTCAGGTATGTTTGGATCGGATTTAAGGGTCGTTTCACCAACCTTCTTTTGGAACAAATCCCAAGCCTCCCCCCATGGCAAACACTCCACTTCAATTGTTTTATGAGCGTCCATTTGGCCACACACCCTTTTAGAACGGGTTGTGAATACTATCTTGGAGTTTTGCTTGTTTTGAAGTGGAATCCCAACCTCTAAGAGATCAAGGCGCTCCCACATATCATCCAACAACAAAACAAACTTCTTTTTGCTCAACACTCCACATATATCTTCTTTCTTTCCTTCTGGTCTTTTATTCTTCCATATCTCGTCATAAAGTCCTATCTTTTTTCCGATGTCATCTTGAACCTGATCCAAATCTAGATTACTGGACACCGTTACCCAAATCACAACATCAAAATCATGAGTTGTATTGACAAACTTGTTGTTGACTTCAGTTAGCAGAGTGGTCTTCCCAACTCCTCCTAACCCATATAAGCCGATGATTCCCACATCTTCTTTTTCGAGGTGCCCCCAAATCTCACATAAATTATTTTTCATGCCCATTATTATTCCTTCACTGGGTCTTACCGTAGCTGGAGGTGAAGGTAACCTTTGAGCTACCTCTTCAAAAACTCCTTTGCTCTTTAAATTAGCAACATCTTTTAGTTTTTTGGCTACTTTATTTCCCAACTCGTACCTTGAGCAGCAATTCTTGGGACATCCACAACAAAAATTCTTCTCAATCTCCTTGATGCCATTTTCTATCACTTCAGTTAATTCAGTTTCCATGGTTTGAAAATCTGAAAGCCATCCTTTTACTTTGTCCAGCCGCTGCATCATTGATTGCTCCTCAGCAACAGCAACCTGTGGCTCCAGGTCGTTTCTGATCCGCTTCAATTCAACCAAATCAGACTTTAATCTATCCAGGTTTTCCTCAAATTTGATTACATGATTGACTTGCTCAGCTATCCAATCACCAGCGCAAGGTGTCAAGCAATTGATTAAGGGCGAGATGCAGGACCAAATGTTTTCCATGCTTCAAGAAAATTTCTAGTAAACAAACAAAAGAAGAAGAAGAAGAAGAAAAAGTGGTGGCTTAGTCTGGTAAGGCAAACCAAGACCACTTTGGGCCTTGTGTGTGGAGAGAGCAATTCAGCCACCAACCACCAATATTGTTTCTTCAACAAGCCTTTACAAAAGATACTACTGACATAATTATATTTTAATCCTAATTGCACATATTGCACCCTACATGATTTCAATCTCTCAATAAAAAACCTAAAGTTGATTGCTAAATTTCTAGATACCTTACAATAAAGGCATTGTAATTTTGCTAAAATTATCCTGTCATTCCCTAATATTTTAATATCAACAAGGCTCATGATCATTATGTCAGCAAAATAACAATCATGATTTTAGTGCCNCAAGGCTCATGATCATTATGTCAGCAAAATAACAATCATGATTTCAGTGCGAATATTTCTCCTCAATTCTTCGTTTGATTTTTGAGGGTAAGGGTCAAATATGTCATCTATTAAAATAAACACATAACCCCTTTTTAGTTTGGGGTTGTAACACTTTACTTGCTTATAATTTTAAAATAATCACATGACCCCCTTCTACTTTTACTTTTGGACTAATATTCTCTTCAACTCTTGTTACACTCTGTCAAAATAAACAAAGTGCCAATACAAAATTCTTAAAAATAACAAAAAGATTCCCCCCGCTCTCTCTCTCTCTCTCTCTCTCTCCTGCTAGTGGGGAGAGAGGAGTTCTAGAATTTATGGGTAGTGTAGCACTTCTCTCTCCAATTATTGTTAAAAAAAATCAGCATTGAAAGTTATTATTTTTTAAGGTTTCAATATACTTTCTAAAAATGAAATTACCTGTTTAAGGTAAATCTATGATCCATCATTAATATTTCTAAGCAGTTATAACTCTACATTTAAGAAATTTGTATGCATTTGACTAAAATATTTCTGGTCTAGTTTGATCAACATCGTAGAGCTCTAGTTAGGTGATACCATATGAATTCAAGGTTTGAATGTTTAAAGTATTGCATAGTTTTCTATAGAAAACTCCCCTCCGATAGTTTGAAGAAGCAACAGTCGATAGTGAGGGTATTCGGGTAATTTAATATTTAATTATTTCTTTTAATGCTGTTAGTTGTGCAGATTAGTCCAAAAGCATAAGTAGGTTATGTGGTTATATTTGAACCATGAGGGGATGAAGTGCTACAATCCCAAACTATAAGGGTGTATCCATTTTATTTGTTCATGGCATAGCATCATTAGGAAGCTGAGAAACGTTTTTTTTTGGATATAATGTACCTACCTTAATAAATTCTACCTACATTCACGGATTAAAAATTTACATCGATTTATTATTCATTAGAAAACTAGTCAGTTAATAATTAATTACATCATACTTAACCCTATTTATAAGGATAAAATATTATAACCCAATACCAATACAACTCCCAACTCACACTAAATAACTAGTATACATTCACAAATATTCAAAGTTTAGCCTCCAAAAACGTCAACTCTACCCTAATACTATATGAGTTGGGAATTCAGAAGCTCTTGATTAAAAAAATACACCCAGCTCTACAATAGTGCAAGTTGTTACCCATGTGCGTACAGATAATCAGTCTTCTCTAGAATTCAAAACAAGGTGGAGAAGAACATCGGCACCAAAATCAAAAAAATCAGAGGCAAGTGGGATTAAAGAAAGCAAGTTACGGAGGGTTTGTGTTCACATGATCGATCACCCATGGGCCATGGCATTCGTCTAATCTATTTTCATTTTCCCACTTCATTGAAGAATAAGTTATTCAGTCCAAGAATGACTTAAAAATCAAGCACGAAAAACAATGATCAAAAGTCTTTGTCTAGACATGTCTTCAATTTTTCGCTGATCTGAATATATATATATATATTAAAGATTTCATTTCTGAAAAATTGGATTTGAAGAATTGAGGGGTCCTTGGGAGCTAGAGGGATATTGAAATGGAGTTTATAGCGATCTTTAAAAAGTTAACATGAAATGTAAATCAGATTTCGATTACTTTATGGGGGAAATGTTGAGAAACAATTTGTAATGTGTTTAGCAGATATTTAGATTGTGGGAATGCCAAATATCAGACGGACTTAAAATTGGAACATTTACGATTTTACTTATTTGAATCAGTCTGAGATTATAAGATTGTAACTCTTATTTCTATTGAGACAACTTAATGAACTACGATTCAAAAAAGTTGCTGGTATTAAAAACAATAGAGTAAATGACAAGAATAATTGCAAACTACCACCAAACTTTTGGTCTAATGGTGTCCCTTCCTTATAAAGGTTTTATCCTCTTGAGATTAAATGTTCAAATTCTCTAGGCGATAAAAATGTGGTTAGTTGGTCATACGAATTTCAGATGTTTGAACGAAGCGTATAAAAATTTTTGATGTGGGTTTGAATCCCCACCAAAGTGTAAATCTTAATTTAACTAGGGTATGAATTGAGGGACTGATTCATACGTCTGCCGTTTGTCCCGAGTTCTACTCAAACTCGTGAGCTTGAGTGACAAAAGCTCGTACTCACTGAGAACATACTAATAATTTTTCCCCATTATCCAAATAAAAAAACAAACTATTGTACTTAGCACTAATTGAAAAGAAGGGTCACTGAAGTGACGGCTACTGAGTAAAGATAATTTGCAAGAAATAGACTTAGTAATGAAAAGACTAACTCTGTTTAACGTTGTGTGTTGATCGAGGATTCTTTCTTTATAGTTTTTTTTTTTTTTTTTTTTTTGTATTTAAAATAAAAAATAACTCTTTCTATTTTGAACCGAATTTTGGATCTAATATGAGGACGTAATTGATCATTGTTGTTGGACTTATAACTAATGAATTAGGTTTCTCATTTTAAAAGAAGGGGTTTTTTTTTTTTTTTAAAGAAATACAATTTGAACTTAAAATATTGACATGATTTGTTGACTTATCAATCACAATTATTAAATATGTAGTGAATTTTAATAAATATTGGGACTCATGGTTAAATTAATAGTAGTGATAATTAAGTCAATAAATCATATCAGCATTTTAAATTCAAATAATATTACTTTTTTTTGAATTATAGAAGGCTTTGTATGGTAGAAGCTGCTTTTTGAAGCTTGGCTTCCACAGCTAAAACTCACTTAGATAACTCTGTATTCAAAAATGTTCAAAGTTTAGCCTCTGAAAACTTTGTATGAGTT